GTTTTCAAAATAATGAGCAGAAACCATTCTGACATTTAAGGCCCATGTGACCTTGACCTTTGACCTGGTGACACCCAATAAGTGACCTTGACCTTTTACCTAGTGACACCCAATATCAATAGGGGTAATCTACTAGTTATTTCCAAACAATATGTTATATATGATTACTTTGTTATACAAAGTTTTTAAAATAATTAAAAGTAACCATTCTGACATTTAAGGCCCCTGTGACACTGACCTTTGAACTAGTGACCCAAAAACAATAGGGGTCATCTTCTTCATATAACTTATCAATATGTAAATTATATCTACTTTGTGAAAAATGTTTTTAAGATAATAAGCGGAAACCATTCCGACATTTATGTCCCCTGTGACCTTGACCTTATAACTAGTAACCCCAATATCAAAAAGGATCATCTTCTACATATTTCTAATCAATAAGTAACTTACTACGATTTTTTTATCAATACTTTTCAAGATAATGAGCGGAAACCATTCTGACATTAAAGGCCTTTGTGACCTTGACCTTTGAAAAAGTGACCCCAAAATAATTAAGACGCATCTACTCGTTATGACCAATCAGTATGTGTAATATGAAGACTAGTGATAACTAGTTTCCAAGATAACCATGTGGTCTACCGATGGACAGACCGACAGACAGACTGACATACCAACATAAGCAAAGCAATAAACTCCCTTTTCTTCGAAAGGGCGGGCTGCATAAAATTATTCCGAGTTTGATGCGATTCACGATTCAATTGTCAAAAAATTGACAAAAGAAGTACAAACATAAGTAAACAAGAGCTGTCACTGGAGACAGCCAAACTCGACTTATAAAATACTGGACGAAGTAAGGAGGACAAAACTATGAAAGAAAACTAAATTATGTATTAATATGTATTAAATTATAGTAAAAAAATAACATTTGTTAACATAAATTCCAAGATCAAGGGACAAAATTCTAGAAATAGTCACGCTAGAGTTTTGAACCTTGTCACAAAACATGTGTGTTATGATAAGAAATATATATTTGAAGTTTGAAGGAGATACCTTAAAAAGTAAAGAAGTTATAATATTTCTTAAAGAAAATCCTAAGTTCAAAGAGAGATAAATCTGTGAAAATTGCTTCAAGAGTTATGAACATTGTCACATAAAATGTAATTGATGATAAGGAATAAGTATTTGAAGTTGGAAGTAGATACCTTCAAAACTAAAAAAGTTATAGTAAAAAATAACATTTTTCTAGTAAAAAAAATCTGTGTTTATGGGGAGATAATTCTTGCAATAATGGTGCTAGAGTTATGAATCTTGTCACATAAGATATGGATGATGATAAGGTACATATATTTGAAGTATGAAGTTGATCCCTTTAGAAATAAATAAGTTACAGTAAAAATAATATTTTGTTAAGGAAAATTCTAAGTTCAAGGGGAGATAAATATGAAATTATTTGTGCTAGAGTTACGAACCTTGTCACATAAGATGGGGATGATGATAAGGTACATATATTTGAAGTATGAGGGTGATCCCTTAAGAAATAAAGAAGTAACATTAAAAATATTATTTTTTAAGGAAAATTCTAATTCAAGGGGAGATAAATCTTAAAAATATTGGTGCTAGAGGTATGAACCTAGTCACATAAGATAGGGATGATGATAAGGTACATATATTTGAAGTATGAGGGTGATCCCTTAAGAAATAAAGAAGTTACAGTAAAAAAAAGTATTTTTAAAGGAAAATTCAAGGGGAGATAAATCTGAAAATATTGGTGTCACATAAGATGTGGTTGATGATAAGGAACATATATTTGAAGTTTGAAGTTGATACCTAAAGAAATGACAAAGTTATAGTGAAACATATTTTACTGCACCAAAACTTTAATCTGAAATCTGGACGCGGACGCCGACGCCGACGCCGGGGCGAGTAGGACAGCTCTCCATATACTTCGTATAGTCGAGCTGAAAAGGAGCATAATTCCACTTGTTTGTCAGTGCCATAACGAAAAAGGGGAAATAGTCGTTTTTTTTTATTTAAAGGCCATAACTCAGCAAAAATCATTCAACAGGAAATCCCGTTTAATATACGCAAGTACTTGAGCAAACAAGCAATTCTGTAAATTTTCATACATTGTCCTGGTAATAGAAAAGTAGTCCGGAAAAACTTAAAATATCATTAAAGGATTGCCAAACTAGAATAGTTAATTCATATTTAAGATTTTGAGAAGTAGTTCGGAAGAGTTTTGTGATGGAAGGACGGAGGGATTGACAGACGATGGAGAAGTTATCACTATTTGTTTCCGCCATTTTGTAGAAGGCGAAACAAAAATGCGCCCCTGGAACTCAGACTAAGAAGTGGCGCCCTACATCTACACCACTGAATTTTAATATGTGAAACCACATTATAGTAATTCTGTTAAAATATTTAAATGCCTTTATCTCCATCGATTTCGAGTAGTCCATGAAACATCGAGGTAATATTTTTTTTATTTCAAAAAATGTTGAAACACAGCATGCAATTTAAACTGTCTTGTTTTTTGAGCATTATTTGGAATCTGTGGTATCAGCATGCTGTGAGCAGTGATGATCGTGGTATTAGTGGTTGTGTTGGTGGCGTAGGTGATGTTGTTGTTTACAGTTTTGGAAACAATCAAAGGTTACTGTGGTATCCGCACGCTGTGAGCAGTGATGAAATTGGTCTTAGTGGTTGTGTTGGTTGCGTAGGTGATGTTGTTGTTCACAGTTTTGAAAACAAACAAAGGTTACTGTGGTATTAGCATACTGTGAGCTGTGATGATGAGTGCTCTGATTGGTTGGGTTGGTGGCGTAGGTGATGTTGTTGTTGATAGATTTGTTGTTTACAGTTTTGAAAACAAACAAAGGTTACTGATTGACAGCAGTGATGATGGTGGTCTTAGTGGTTGTGTTGGTGGCGTAGGTGATGTTGTTGTTTACAGTTTTGAAAACAAACAAAGGTTACTGTGGTATCTGCACGCTGTGAGCAGTGATGATGGTGGTCTTAGTGGTTGTGTTGGTGGCGTAGGTGATGTTGTTGTTTACAGTTTTGAAAACAAACAAAGGTTACTGTGGTATCCGCACGCTGTGAGCAGTGATGATGGTGGTCTTAGTGGTTGTGTTGGTGGCGTAGGTGATGTTGTTGTTTACAGTTTTGAAAACAAACAAAGGTTACTGTGGTATCCGCACGCTGTGAGCAGTGATGATGGTGGTCTTGACTAAAGTATTTAGAGAACAGAGACATGAGGTAACTTCAGCAAGTGCTTAACATTATTTTTTTTTCTTACTTTCTGCTCGAATTGGGAAATCTAACCTTGTCCCTTATATATACGTGTTTTGACGGCTTTTTGCCCCCTTTTTTACTCTATCTCAATTCATTGAGAAGTTACAGCACTTTGAAATAAGTTTTGATGGAAAAAATCAAAAAAACGATTTTGGGCAATTGTGAGACGTCCCGCCGTTGTCATGGTAACAGGAAATTTACGACTGATCATGCTGTTACAGAGGCTATGGTCTAGTCAACATTTTTGCCAAGTTTCATCAGTATTGAAACATTTTTCATAGTTTCATAGCAGTTTGACCTTGTATAAGGAGGCTTTCAATGAAAACGGCCATTTTTCACAATATGGTCATGGTGTAAAAGGTTTAACATAGACCTTTACAAAATTCTCATTTAAAATCTTTAATTTATTGCATGCATCACATTTTATCAAAAAGCTCTAATAACATTGTAGGCATTTCCGTCTATGGTAGACAAGGAATTTCGCCTATTATTCGTGAAGCTTAAAACAGAAAGCAAAATTTATTTATTACATTCACATCATTTATATTGAACAAGTATGCTTTGGATGCGTTCAAAAGAATAATGAAATTTAAAATGTATTTATTAGAAGGGTTGCTAGCTTATGTTATGGAATGTGATGTGTAAGCAAGAGAAAATACGCTTCTTTGACAATTTGTTTGGACAATATAATATACACGTTATAAAGAATTGTTTCTAAATATATTAAGATTTAACTTTTGTGTGTATGCATAAATTAGACGTCACGCAATCTATTCTTCAGATTGAAGAGAGGGAAAATAAAAGCTTAATGGTGTAAAACTGTTTTGCACCCATTCATGGGTAATATTACTCGACATCTATTTAAATGATTTCTAAGGAGTTTTGCATTATCGCGTGAAACATGTATATTTATATTTATCAGTTTGGTGATAAGAAATGCAATAGAGATATTTCAGACAACCGTTCAGTGAAAAAAAAATAACAAGAAAAAAGATTTTTATTAAATTTACAACCGTAAATTGAGTAAACATCACCAGTCAATAATCTTTTCGGGTGTTCATATATTCTCTAATTTCTTTAATGCTTAAATACCTATTCTGTATTGCATCACGTTGATTCACTGAATGGCAAAAGGAACTTATTTATTGCATTCTATGTAATATTTCCTTTAATTTGGGTGTGACATTGACCTTTAAGTTTCGGATCCATATGTTATACATGACACATTGTTCCGATATGCTACACATTTATACAACACTATTTTAACACCATCCATAAATGACAACGTTATGGAGGACAGCGGGGCGGACGGAAGGATGAATGGTACAAAAATATATGCTTCTTCATATAATTCAACTTCGATAGTCCATAGTATCTTATAAATACACAAAGTGCTAGCTATACAATTAGTTTTTTATTACAATATCTCATTAATAGTTATTATTCAGAAACATTTTGTTTTCTGTTTTTAGTAACAGTGCCCTTTACCATGACCACACGGAGCAAAAGAGCAATCATTTACTAGTCGTATTCTAAATAAAAAGCTATATTCAGTCCTCATTTAAAATTAAAATTAATATACAAAATAAGCTTTAAGACAGCGGGATGTCAACTTTTAAAAAGGTCAAAGAACACTTGAAATCAAAGCAGATACTCATATATTACATTAATAAGTCAGATTCATATTGTAATATATAAGTGATTACCTGTGTTAGTTTATGAACTGCATTCTTTGACGCCTCGTCATTAATCAGACACTTTGGATCTTGAAGAACAACAATGAACGCATCCAAAAAGGAACACACAGTTGTTTCGTCGATTTCAAGCTTTGAGCTATGTAAGATTTCATTTCGGATGTCTCGCGCCTGAAATAATTTTTATAATACATACATTTGTGAAGAAGAAGGAATCATAACACATAATTCCCACTACTTTTTACTTTTAATTCTTATGTATAATCATAAAGAACATTATTTTTTTCTGCTCAATGTAAGGGAATACTTGGTTTTAATGCTTTTTATACGTTCAATCCTTACTTAGGAAAGTCTGCAGTTCGAGTTCATATTTAAACATTTACATTTCGATCAAGGTTATCTTTAAAATAAAATGGCAAAATTATATTTTTTAAAAGTAAGTCTAGATCTATTCAGTAATTAATTTAGTATATTTATGAATTTAAAAATCATTTATAAATCATTAACCGTTATATGTACTTACCATATGAAACAAACTAGTAATATGAGACAAAGTTTTGAGTCGACTTGCTGTTTATAATTATTAAGAATTTTAATGAATATTAAAATAATTTATGAATCATTGACCGTTTCCTGTACTTACCGTATAAAACGAACTAGAACTGGCCACAAAGTTTTGTATTGACTTGTTGCTTATAATAATGCTCAGCAAACTAGCAGCATCTGTATCTTTAGCTGATGTCCCTGGACCTATAGTTGTTTGGAAACATTTTGCATAACTCCACCCATGAGGATCCGAACACCACGTTCTTGGGTCTGTGTTCTTCCATAAGGGGTCTTTAAATACATGCTCATCTATAATTGCGTCGTAGAATTTACTACAAATGCCATCAGGACATTTCCTACGTCCGACTGGTCTGCTTCCAAAACAGTTGTTTGAGGTCTTTTGGCTACATGTGTTTTTGTTGCATGCCTTCGTAGAGTTAAAATGTTCTGGAGAAAGATTATTTTCTGTACACTGGTTGCACTGTTGTGGTGATCCAGATGATAATGTTGATATTATCTTTTGAAGGGTATTATCACGACATTGCAGTACTTTTTTTCCAACAAATTCTTGAAGACCTTCCTGTAAGTATTCCAGTCCTTTTGAGCCTCGTACCCAATTCTTAAACAGATCTTTATCCAGTTCCTCACTTGCCATTATAGCATTTTCGAACAAGGTCAGTCTGAATGAAAACATTTTTATAAATGTGATAATATCTTTGTAATTTGATATGATTGACATTTTAATCATGCCAGTGTATTCAATTTGAAAATCAAATATCTATATTTATTTACTTGTATGCTTGCCTAGTATGCTTAGAGAAATAAAACCTCATATTTCCAATCATTTTGTTACTAGAAGTATTTATTTTTCATCTTTGGTAGGTAACCAGGGGACTGTCAATTGTTATATAAGTCTTTTTCACAGCATATAGCACAGTATAGCACAGCATATCAAAGCAATGCATAGCAAACCATCAGGCAAGTGACGATGAATTGATAAATAAATATGTGATTCGTTGGGTTTACGCTTCAATCTACAGTATATAGCACATATAGTTGACGAGACATTTAACGCAACATACAATCGTATATATACAATTTACAGTCATACAGTTCAAATGTATTGCAGAGAAAATTGTTATACTTCAGAAAAGAAAGAAAGAACATGTCTAAACACAATGTCAAAAGTAGAGATCGAACCTCAGACCTCTTATATATTAGATAATCACTTAACCCACTATGGTAATGTGGATGTGACGAGAAATACATAAAGCTAGTTTGAATTTTCAAAACATTAGATATATACTCTATGATAGTAATTCTCGTAAAATATACGAACAGAACTGAAGTGTCCCAAAAGTGCATTCATTTTTACTTCTCAAAAGATTATTATTTTTGATATCATGTATTAATTTATAAAATGTTACTGATTGGCCAATTCTCTGAACCATCTATTGCCTATGTTGCCTTTTGGCAGATAGAACAGTTATACTGATTTATTATTTTGTATGAGGTCAGAATATGATGTAACTTTGTTTATATGTTGCTACTTCCATGACAAATAATTTCACATTCTGTACTTTTTCTTTCAGTTGATAACCATCTCGCATGCTCTCAAACAATTGTTTAAACGTTATAATACTTAAGTCTGCCAATTCTTAAGAAGGAACAAAATGAATTCTGTGTTTCTTAGGCATAATGTGCCTTTAATGCAATGGTCATTGAGTTTTGTGGTGGTGGGGGTAGCAACGTTGTTGATGTTTTGTCTGAATTGTCAGACGTTATATAATAAAATATAGAATTTTGAACAGCATCTTCTAACGAATAACTGTTAGTTTCGTCGAAAAAACAATCATTTCATATATCACCTGGGAATGGCCCTACAATTTATTTTGTTCTTTTTTCAATAACCTAAACCGACTCGTGAGTTGCGCAATCAAGTTCCATCCGTTTCTTTGGTGTCATATTTGGTCCATTAAAATATCGCCTGTTAAGATTGACGAGAAATTTAGCTCGATTATTTTAGGAATAGGGAACAATTGTACTTGTCGGCGTTACTTTTTTTGTTATGTGTGTGCGTGCAAGTTGGAGTATAGAGAATTAATTGAAACTTCACACTTATTAAAGAGCTAAATGGGAGGGCACTATCCAATGCACATTTCTTTAATGTGGAATTTTAGAGAACTATGACCCTTTTTGAAATTCTACATTTAACAAGCTCTTGAACTATCACTCACCGAGATTTTATTATCAAGCACTGAGAACACACTGTCGAGCACACTGCTGTTAATAATAATACCGAGATATGATATTCCCTTTTGAAGAACTTTCATTATAGTCACTGTCACTGTAAATGAGTTACAGTTCTCGAAAGAAACATGTGGGTGTAAAGGTTAATATTGACGATTTTGTTATATTTTGATTCTCACATTGATTAAGTTAAGCACGCGACAAAAAAGAGAACTGTACTAAGGTATTTATTCTTTTTTATTTACAGCTGGTCATCTATGGAACATGTATCATGAGTTTTTAAAGTCTTGAACTGATTCTTGATTTGTTTTAGATTTTTTGAAATGATTGGTAATGAAGACAGTGTATATAATGAAGTTTTATATTCATTATGTTAGTTATACAATGTATATGTATGTAAATAGTAGTTTATAGTGAAATGTATTTTTACTAAGTGAAAGATGCTATACAGTTACAAGTAGTTTTTCTTATGTTTGTAAAAAATTATGAGAGCAATAAGTCATATTTAAATAAGTAGATTCTGATTCAAATTGATTTGTTTAATTTCAATTATAAGTACAGTGATATTGTCTGTAATGTATTTGTGATGCCTTATTTTCTTTTTAGGTCCATTTCTCTTTTAAATTGTATGTATTAGACAAAATAAATATACGACAGTGCATCAATAAATTTGTTAATCAATTCAGTAGCGTCAAAATTACTGCTCCGTTTAAAATGAAACTTTAAATGCTGCGAAAATTATATCGTACTTTGTATAATACTTTGACTTCATCACTTATGACGCCATAAACCGTAAATGACTTCACGTTACGGGCGTCCGTTCGAACATGGAGTAACACAGCGTAAACGAACAGCGCATCGTTATAAAATATTACACAAAACTCGGACAGTCCTTTTCCGATATTCATGAAAATTTGCAAACAGTTTACGGAGAGGCTGCTCTGTCACAAGGTGTCATAAAGCGGTTTAAAACGGTAGAGAGGCACCTGAAGACGACATTCGTGCAGGTAGAGCAGTGACTGACTGTTACAGATGAAGAAACAGTGACTGCCATTCAGGAGTACATACTCCGAGATAGACGAGTAAGTGTGGATGTACTTTTTTGAATCAGAAAGCAAACGTCAGAGTTCCGTCCGGAAGCATCCTTCCTCGCCTTCCCCTACAAAAGCGATAATTTCCAAGTCAGCCGGGAAGGTTATGACCATTATATTCTGTGATACATACACTGTAGTGCTAAACCACTTTGTTTCTCCGAAAACGACAGTCACTGGGAACTATTATGCAACATTACTTTGAAAGGGTCTCATGGCGGCAATAAGGACAATAAGGAGAAAGCGCTCACATCTACTTAGATTTGGATTCATATTACATCACGACAACGCTCCGAGTCATTCAAGACACACTGTCATGGAAACACTAGAACAACTCAACGCCGAACATAGCAGTGTGTGACTTCTGGCTGTTTCCAATTTTAAACTAGAAATGTGTCCATAGGACACGAGTGGCCCCACACTCCACCGATTTGTCAATCTTATGTCTCTCGGTTAATTTTGTTTGGCTACATGTGCCCAGGCTAAAAACTAAAAATCTCTTATGAAGTAAAGGCAAATACTACAAATACTGAATAAATCCACAAGAAAACCCCAAGGTGCATAAGTACACATGCTGACCAACATTCTTGTAAATTTTCAGGCCTACAGGTCAAATATTTTTGAGTTACTTGTAACATAAATTGAATATTGTAAAAAGTTACTAATTCAAGGGCAACAACTCTAAAAATACTAAATATATCCACACGAAAATACCCAGGTGCATAAGTACACATGCTGACCAACATTCCTGTAAGGTTTTATGACTATAGGTCAAATACTTTTTAGTAACGTGTGAAACAAGTTAAAAATTGGACATTTTTACTAATTCAAGGGCGATAACTTTAAAAATACTAAATATATCTACCTAAAAATACCCAGTTGCACAACTACACATGCTGATCAACATTCCTGTAAGGTTTCATGACTCTATGTCAATTACTCTTTGAACTTCGTGCGACAAATAAAGGGACGGATGGACGGACGGACGGACAAGAGTAAAACTAAATCCCCCCCCCATTTAGTGGGTGCACAAAAACAGTCTTTGGGTACGAAATTTGAGTCAAGAGAGGAACTGAGGTGTGCCGTGGACAAACAGCTGCGGAAGATTTCACGTGAAGGGCTACAACACGTATTCGCGTTATAGGTCGAGAGCTGGAACAAGTGCAAATCGTGCATGAGACGTTACTTTGAGAAGGAGTAATCATTTTCGGTACTTGAATTAAATCTTTTGAAAGTTCATGAATTTATTGGTGCACCCTCGTATGTAGTTAAGAATCTGATAGTGAGGTCTTGCCCTGAGACCATAAAGAGGCCCAGCTGCTAGGTTAGTAGTAAAAGTGCTTTATATCTGAAGACGCGCATTTGATGTATAACAGAACCTTTTTTACAACAAATACAAACAACTGGCAAAAAATCTTGAAATTATTTAAAAATACAGCAATATCGTATGTCCATCGAAGCACATGCCCTCCATCATTGTATGTAAAAAAGAAGCTCAAGAAGGCAATCACCATAAATTGTTTTGACTTATGAACTACCATAATAATGAAAAAAAGAAATTAAAAATTAAATATGCTTTTCATTAAGGCATTTTTACGACACACTCGGATTTATGTTTGAGTTCCATGTTAGATGTATTTAATATGTAAAATAACTTATTATTTTGAGTAAACCAGCAGTTTTTAGTGGTCTATCATATTTTTTGAGGTGCCAAATTCTGGACAACTAGTCAACCAGTTATTTGAGCTTTTGTTGTCTAGCTGTCAAGTTTAAAAAAAAAAGTTGTAATTCTTGTTATTAGATGTCATAACCCTTTTCATTAGTTAGCTCCAAGAAATAATTTAAAAACATACAAACTAGATGCGGGTATTATAAATTTTCATGACCTCTTTAGCCATTTTGTCAAGCTTTGCAACCAATTCGCTCGTTTTGAATGAAGTATATAACAACCACCACGCCTGCTCTTTGATAAAACTCTAATCATATTTAAAGTTTAAGTTAAACTCGATTCACTAGTCAAGAAAAGCGTACGCTAAAATGGTCAATAAGGACGCTATAAAGGAATATATCGAATACTTTTGTCAGTTTTATGTTTTGGTAGGTTTTTATTATCTTCTAAGACGTGTCTATAGGTTAAAGATAGAAAAATGTGAAAATGCGTTATATACCTTTTTTCATGATGTACACATTTTACATGTATAGCACATTTTGTACATATGAACAATTTAACTTACTTTGTATTGTAAATTTAAACTTAAAAAAAAACGTTGTTAAAGTATTACACGCAACTGATCATGTGGCCACTGTTGCTAGGTTAATTATATCTTATATGACATGAT